ATTGACCTTCAAGGTCACGGTAAAAGTCAAATTCAAAGTCAACATTTGCTTTCTCCCAATGAACTTTCATTTAGGCCATCTTGAATCGGAGATTTCACTAACGAGATATTCACGTATATCGATTAAAATGGGACACGTGGTACAGGATATAGTTTCATCATTCATTGTGAGTTTTGATAATTATTTAATTATTATCATCAGGGAATATATTTACCTAATAACCACATAAATAGTTTATAACTATGAGTAGGTAATTACTATTTTTATAAGAAACGTGAGTATAGTCATATCTGTCTAATGTATTATGGTAATTTTGTTACGTAACAATACATTTCGTAGAAACAACAGTAACGTTATATCAGAAGAGTTATGGAAAAAGTTAGTTATATTTTACCGAATAAATAAAATGCTGAGACAGAGAAAAAAAAAATTATATCTTAGCAACAAAAGTATTCACTTTTTAATCCTACGAGCTAAAGTTTTAATCCTTATATTAGATTAAAAGTATTAATTCAAAGCACAAATTACATAATTATTAAATGGGGGATTTCGGTTGGAGAAAAGATAGCATGTTTTATCCGGATTAAAAGTGCCTTTTTTGTCTTGCAATTTTGCATCCGTTCAGCTACACTATGCTTCGCCTCGCAAATACAAAATTTGCTCTCTAAAAAAGTAATCCTAATATAACAATATAGGTACTATTGGCTTGCAAATGAACCATTATATTATGTTATCAATAAAATTAAACATGAAACAGAAAGAATATACTTTTTTGTTATTGTTTTAAAATATTTGCACTAGAAAATACTTAATTAACAAATAATAGAAATGAAGCAATAAAAATACTTTCTTTGCGTGAAGTTCAGATTAACTAAAAAGGTTATATTAAAATGTAAATAAAATAACTACATGATGATCCTGTAGTCAAAATTCATGAAAATGAAATTTTTGGGCGACACTGGTCCAAATAGTTTCCTAAATTTGGTTGAAAGATGTAGGTATATCTTTTTCATAGTATTTTTAGGCGTTGAATACGATGCCAATAGTAAAATTTACTCATGACTTCGATATTTCTCAGAAAATATTTGGATGAAAACTACCCCAAAATATGGGGCCAAAGTTGATTTTTTACTAAATTTTGTCCAAATATATCTTTCGTAGTATTTTGAGGTGCTGAATACGATACCATTAGTAAAATTTATTTATGACCTCGATATATCTAAAAAAATCCACTATTTGACTGAAAACTGGCCAAAATACTACGACAAATTTTAAGAAAAAATCAGTTTCGACTCAAATTAGGGCCAGATTTCACGCAAATAGTGAATTTTCCGAGAACTATCGAGATCACGGGTAAATTTTTCCAATGGCATTGTATACTACGAAAATGATATATCTGGAATTTAAGAAAAAAATCTGTTTTGACCCACATTTGGGCCAGCTTTCACTTAAATACTGGATTTTCTGAGAAATATTGAGGTCATGGATATTTTTTAAATTATATATCTAGACAAAAATTAGTTTCAATCAGTTTTGACCCATATTTGGACCGGTTTCTTCCAATAATTTCAATTTTCTCCGCACGCACCCAGTATCTGGGATTTTGGTTCCCCGTCGAATTGGTTGCAACTAATTTTTTTCTATAGTATTTGACCTTCGGATAAAAAATTTTCAGGAGCACAACGCCCAAAAAAGCCTCCTAGAAGGTCTGGCAGTTGACGAGAGTTTGGATATATTTCAACATATGTTATTTCGCACGAGCTGCATCACCATACTTGATTATGGTAAACAATGGTATTTGGGGGTGCTGATTACAAATCCAAGGTCAGCTAACCTCCATCATATTAGATTCAAGGTCATCTCAAGGTCAAATTGTGAAAAAACCATTAGAAAAATGTGAAACAGTAGGTACATAGGTTTTTGAGGTCACTGAATACGAATATCGGGTTCCCATATACTGGATGCGTGGTCTCTTGTAGTGAAGTAATGAATTTTTGATTAGCAGATCGTGATCAGCGGATGGAGTTCCTTTCGGAAACGATATGTGGCTCTCCAGGGTTTGGATTTTTTTTGTGTAGCTGTGGGTGATTCATTCTTATGTATTATACATTCATAACTACTTCTCTACGTTAAAAGCAAACACCGTCCAAACAAGATTGAGAATCCAGTTTTGAGAAAATATACAAATATGTAAAATTATGGACATTTGGCGTCCTGCAGTAAGTCTTGATAAGACGCAGGGCATTTGATGAAAAAATTGCTAAAGTAGTGAACGTCCACCGAAATTCAGGAGTTGACAACTCTACTCTGGCAGAGAAATTGAGATTTCATGCAACTATGGTTTAAAACTCCTGTCGATACTGACCCAAAGAAGAATTATTTTCGCAAGACAAATAGTCGAGAGGATACGAATATACACTGTAGATTTATAAGCAAATGTCGCGAAATGCTCCATTTTTGAGAGATAGTGTCTTCAGTATATTTTTACAAGTAGGTTAATTTGGTGTATAGCTTTAGTTTTTGTTTATCCAGAAATGTTTGAACATACACCGTGTCCACCTAGTGCGCGTAAGACCAATATCTAGGTTAATAAAAGATATAACTTAATTTTTTTTCTACAGAGTTGCCTACTTTCCCGAGCTGCACAAAATGAAAATATATTTGCATATACAGGGTGTTCAGTTTTCCTGGACCAACTTAATTTTTTTAAATGGAAACATATATTTTTTATAGCATTATCGAATTTACGTAAAAAATTAACGGGACTTTGTGTTATGATTCCTATTAAAATATTGATAGTTTTCGAGATAATCGACTTTTAATTTTTTTTTTATGTTTTGTCACTTCTACTAGTTGACATAATTATGATTGTATGACAGCTAGAAATTATTTTTTTTCAGGAACTGTAGAGTGAAGATGGCTCTTTCTAAAAACGTATCAAAAGTTGACCTACGATATACAGGGGGCAAAAAAATCGTGCCAAATCTGATAATTTAAAATTTGAAAAATCTCGACTTTTTCAAATACCCTGTGTTTTATGATTTCATGAGATGCCTTTCTGTAGACCATACAATTTTTTAATAGCTTTCCCTATACCTAAGTTGCATAGTTTTTGCAAAAAAACCCATTTTTATGTAAAATACTTACCGGATTTGCGCCCGTTCCTTTGTCGGGAAAAATATTGTAAGGGTATTTATTTTTATTAAATTTATTAGTTGTCTAGCTACACTATTTAAAATAAAAAATAATAACTGAAAAATTTAGATATTTGAGTTTAATAAGTAAGGCTTTATGGAAAGTTACCATTTATCTGTAAATAAAATCAAAAATTCATAAAATCGCTACAAGTTATTAAGAATTAGCAAAATATGGGAAATGTTTGCTAGCAGCACGTATTTACAAAGCAAATAATCCAAGTTTACAGAGATTCCCACTGTTTTGAAAATGTAAAGGAAAGGTTTGAATGAACAGCAAATGCGAATTATGAGAAAACTACCAGGAGATATGAAAGTAACAACGATAATTTAGTTTAAAGTTGTGGCGTCTGTTGTTGAAAATTCAAATATTAGTGCCAGGAAATTAGTAGTAACCTTGGAGTTTTCAAAAGTTTGACAAATAAAATATTGAAGAAGTTTCATCCGTATCATATTGAAAATCAAGCACTGTTACCGTAGTTAGGAAAGTTATTAGTGAAATTGGAGATTAAAAAATTTGGATGAATAGAATTTTGAAAAGGAATACTCACAGTCGCAAGCTAACTTAAAATAAATACCCTTACAATATTTTCCCGACAAAGGAACGGGCGCAAATCCGGTATTTTACATAAAAATGTTTTTTTTTGCAAAAACTACGCAAGTTAGGTATAGAGAAAGCTATTAAAAAATGGTAGGGTCTACAGAAAGACATCTAATGAAATCATAAAACACAGGGTGTTCTATTTCAAAAAGTCGAGATTTTTCAAATTTTAAATTATCAGGTTTGGCATGATTTGTTTTGCCCCCTGTATATCACAGGTCAACTTTTGATACGTTTTTTGAAAGAGCCATTTTCAGTCTACCGTTCCTGAAAAAAAATAATTTCTAGCTGTCATACAATCATAATTATGTCAACTACTAGAAGTGACGAAACATAAGAAAAAAAATGAAAAGTCGATTATCTCGAAAACTATAAATATTTTAATAGGGATCATAACACAAAGTCCCGTTATTTTTTTTTGTATACAACGGCTCAGTTTCGGAGTTGGACTTACTAATTTTCGAACGTTATCTCCCAAGATATTTCTAGTCCGTTCTCGAGATAAATAATAAAATATCACACCATGTATTGTGATGTACTGTTAAAAGTGTCATGATGTCAGGCTATTTTTAATATAAAAGTAACAATTCAAAGTATCACTTTACCTACGAATAAAATGAAATATTATTTACATGGCTTTCCTTATCTCTTTTTACAATTTGAAATAGACCATGTATTTTCATTAATTTTTAACATAATGAACTTTCATATAAGGAAACCAACCTGTGTAAATTCTATTTAAGTAAGTGTATGTATATTACAAGATAAATAAGTGTTCAGAATGTAAAGCAAAAATAAGTAATGTAAAAGGAAAAATTAAAAAATATTTCCCGGTTTTCTAAATTTTTACGCTTAATCCCATTGTGCGCTTATTAATTTTTGTTCTGGAAAAGAAAATACTCTAATTTTGTTTTTGTCAATGAATATAATTTTCAGTGAACGCGAATATGAAACCCAAAGTCCGAGGAATAATATCGCAAATTTCGTTTTTGGACCAAAATTACATCAGTATTGGTAACTATATATATACTCATGTGTAAGAGGTACCTTTTTCAGTGACGCCAAAATTCCTAGTATTGAGAAAAATATTACAAAATTCTTAAAAACATCTTACATAAATACCTTTTACATAGAATGAACATGACAACTCGTTACATAAAAGTAAATTACTTTTGAGTCATAACATAGAATACTGAATTTATTACCAAATCGATAGTCAATATCTCCAGGTCCATTTTTATTTTCATCACTAGGCTGTGAATTTTCTGGGTTTTCATTGTTAGTCGACCCCTCAAAGAGAATGGCGTCTGGTGTAGGTCTGTTTCCCTTGTAAGACCTGGTTTCAGTGTTCACTTGTCTCCTGGATCTCTGCCCATTGCGCCAAGCGTAGCTGATCCTAGTCCAGGTAAATTCCTCTTTGAGTCCCGCACTAGATACCAAGGATAGTACAACGGAAATAACGCAACACTCGAGTAATCTCATCTTAGCACTGAACTTCGATATACCGTCGATGTCATCGGACTAAAGTAAACAAGCTGGAGATGTAAAATTCTGTTTAAATATAGTCTACAGTGGCGGCGCCGGCGTGGCTAATTTTTATAACACGCGGGAAAAAATAAAACAAGCAGGAATACGAGAACCCAATTTCGATATTTGTTTAAGTAGATTATGTAAATTTATTAAAGACTTCACGTAGGTACTTTCATTCAATTTTTAAGACAATAGAAAATTCCTGCTGATTTAAAAAAAATATCAAACTTTTTGTATACGTATAACTATTTAATAGGAGATGACACTAACAATAAGAAAAATATTAATTAAATCAATTATTTGTATTTGATAAGATATCTTTGGAGTTTATAAGGCATTTATTTGAATCAAAATACAAAATATTTAGTTCTTAAGAATAATTTAAAGAGCTAAATTAAATTACAATGTTTTCCGAGCACATTTACTTAAATATTTCTTGAAAAGCGCATTTAATTAACATTCGTACCTTTTTTATTATCGTAAAAATTACCTTCATTGTCACTATTAAATACATTTTTTAATTAATATTTATTTAAGTACGGTAAAAATCGGGTATATACTGGGTGTACGGAAAAATGTGATCTCTCGAGTGCAGATAGAACATGAAAAAATAAGATGATAGGTTCCTATAAAATTTTTTTCGTACAGTCCCTCCCTACGGAGATATGTGTCTGAAAAACGCCGCTGGAAATAGGTTTTTCTTGAATAACTTTTAAAGTACTTAATATTTTCATAAAAATTTTATGTGATGGACACTAAGGACCCTCTTAAAATTGTATTCTTGAGACATATTTAGCCTTTTTAGTTTACCAGGGTCAGGCTAAGCTTTAAAACGTAATGCCTAAATTTTTAACACCCTGTATGACAAAGACTTTAAAATAATAAATCTGGGTAGCTTCAACCTTAGACTAAACAAATGTACTCTTGTTTATTGTCGATAAAATGAACCGTTTACGAGAAAAAGAATAATAAACGAATTCTTGTTTTATTTTTAATAAAAAGGGCCATGATTTCTATCTTTTTTTCTCGCCAACAAAGTGACATCGCTGACACATTGATCCTTTACTTCGTTATTAATTTACCGAATTTTGGATTTCGTGGTGAATTTAATTGTGAATTAATTCGAAATATGAAGTATACGTTTATGCAGATATGCATCTCGTACGAGTATGGTCTTAGGTCTTGCAATGCTTTACAAGCCAGAATGTTATATCAGGACAGATTTCCTAATCGTGCTCTGCCAAACCAGAAGTTGGCCAACGTCTAAGGGAGAATGGTGGGCAATTCCAGTTAATAAGGTAATACATATTATTGACTTTCTTCATATTTGTAGGAATATTTGGAAAAAATAGTACTGATGCTGGTCTGAGAAGAACCATATACGTACGCCGCAATTATATGAAAATAATTTTAATTGCTGTAGAAGACACTCCATCAACGAGCACTCAAAAATTATTAGCACAGTTTAATACATCGAAAACAATAATACATGAAGTTCTTCAAGAACAGCTGTTATATCTATACCATTAGCAAAAATACATGAACTGATTCCTGAAGATTTTCCTCCTAGAATGCAGTTTGCAAATTGGCTATTGGATCAGCAACGAAATAATGTAAACTTCATTAGCACTATTCTTTTCACGGATGAAGCAAGGTTTACCAAAAATGGTAACACCTGTTTACACAACACGCATGTATGGGCTGATGAAAATCCTCATGCCACTATTGTTTCGCATCATCAACAACAGGAATCAATGGCAATTTTTTTTATTGGACCATTCGTATTGCCGCAACGATTGAATGGACAACTTTATTTGGAGTTCCTTCACAATGCTTTACAAGACTTACTTACCAACTGAAACCCGCCGAAACATGTACTTCATGCACGATGGGGCATCACCTCATTTCAGCGTTGGTGTGCGGGAGCACCTGAATGACGTCTATTCAAACCGTTAGATATGTAGAGGAGGACCTATTGCCTGGCCTCCTCGATCTCCCGACTAATGCCTTTGGATTTTTACCTGTGGGGACATCAAACAATTGGTATATTCCACTCCGGTCGACACTAGGGAAGAACTTCTACACAGAATCACGTTTCATTGTGATGTAATAAGGAACAGTGCTGGATTATTGTGGCGGGTACAGCAGCCCTCAAATCGTCGGATTAAGCATCTTAAAATTAAACTTTCCTGTTGTCATCAATCCAATCATGGCCCTTTTTATTAAAAATAAAGCATGAATTTGTTTATTATTCTTTTTCTCGTAAACGGTTCATTTTATCAACAATAAATAAGAGTACCTTTTTTTTAGTCTAAGGTTGAAGCTACCCTGATTTATTATTATAAAGCCTTTATCATACAGGGTATTGAAAATTTAGGCATTAAGTTGTAAAGCTTAGCCCGCCCCTGGTAAACTAAAAAAAAACACTATTTTAAGAAGTCCTTACTAGTGTCCATCACATAAAATTTTTATGAAATTATATTACGTATTTTAAAAGTTATTCAAGAAAAACCGATTTCCAGCGGCGTTCTTCAGGGACATGTATCTCTAGGGAGGGCCTGTACGAACTTGTCATCTTATTTTTTCATGTTCTATCTGCACCCGAGAGGTTTCCCACATTTTCCCGGACACCCTATATATTAAAAAAAATTATCTATAACCATTATCTACATACGGGGCATTCCATGCCAAATCAGTGAGGTGCCCATTTAGAGCAGTTTCATGAATTTTTAAAAATGTTATTCAACCCCTCAAGAAGTTATGAGCATTTAAATATTTTGGTAAAAAATTTTCAGATACCTGTAACTAAAAATGATAAATTGTAATAACCATACATTGGAAAACAATCATCTCTATTAATTACATTTTCCTTTGATAAAAGACCGACAACTTTTTGCTCTACTTTGCATGGAATGCGATCCTATTACAGTTCATATTAGTCTAGGAGCCAGATAGGGTTCTGTTTACTAGCTATAAAAATAAAAACTTTTTACAGCCATTTAAATATTTGATTTGTTGATAACAATTAAACTCACCACTTTCAGGCCTTGCGACCTCTTTTGGATTCAGGAGCTCAAAAAACTACGAATAAGGTGTTTGCAGCCGTGGCACTCTGTTGGCCACGGCACCCTATCTAGCTCATAGACTATACACACGTACACGTGCAAATTAAAAGTGGGTCAAATAAAAAGGTTATTGACCTATTAGCCAGGGTCGGAAACACGTACCAAGTTGTTTACTTGTCTCCGTCCGATTGTTTTTTTATCTTCTATTACTTACGGTCAATATTTAACTACTACATACATTTCACCCTCTCTTTATAATTTATCTAGTGAGTGTTGATTTTTTATGTCATTATTTCTGTAATGAAATTGAAATGATTGTGAAATGAAATTTAAATACTTGAACTCTTGGAGTTTTGTAACTTCAATATTAAATTTTATTTAAAGTGAAACATAGCTGATTTCTTTGCAGCGATAATAGTCACATTTGATCAGATGAAAACCCGCACACTACTCGTCGGTTTAGCTTTCAGAGGAGGTTCGGTGTCAATGTATGGGCTACGGGATATGTGGTATATGCACGACGGAGATCCGGCCCATTTTGCTCGCGATGTCCGTGGATTTTTAGACGATCAATGTCTCTATCGGTGGATAGGGAGATGAGGGCCCATAATCCTATGGACTTTTGTATTTGTGGGAGAATGTAGAGCAGTTGCGGAATCGTATCGAAGATGCCGCTGAAGAAATACGTAACAACCCTGGTTTATTCCATCCGCCGCTCATTTATCCAACGTGTACACTTGTGCATAGACGGTAACGGTAATGTATTTGAACATTTACCCGAAGGCTTACAGCAAATTAAAAAAATTAACATTATGATGTTAATAAAAACTGATTTTTGGCAAGGCATGCTCAGACCTCCTCGAGGTTCTTGCTGGGCAACAATAACAATTTAATGTGTTGATTGCATAATTATAAAAAATAATTCATAGCATTTTAAATTATCATTGGCCGACGTGAGCAAACCGTTTATTTATTGTCTTTATATGTGCGAAAATATATAAATATGGCAACGTTGCATCTAGGGCGCGTTGTTCATATCGTAGCCGTGCGCAAATTCTAAATAAGCGATGACGTCAGCCGGTCAGTAACAGCCTGAAAAGGGGGGTTAAATAATGATTTGAAAATATTTTTTTCAGCTTAAATATGCATTTAATTTTTTTTAATCACGCCATCGTATTATACTCATTTTTCTCTATCTGCTCTTAAAATTAATAACATTATGACTGAATCACCCTGTATACATGAGTAGAATAGCTGTGCCGATTCTGCTTCACAATTCAAGATGGCGACTGGAGCAGGATAGGCATAGCTTTTTCAAACCAGCCATCAGGGTACATAAGTATATAAGTTTTATTATTATCCATATCCAAGTTAAACACAACTCGCTTTTGATCACTCATTGTATCAAAAGAAATAATACTAATAATAGATCCGTACATAAATAATACTTCTAGTCGGCACGAACGGTTATCAACCTCTACCGCGCAGACGTCAGCCGCTATGACGTAGCCGGCTGAAAGCTATGGCGATCCTGCTCCAGTCGCCATCTTGAATTGTGGAACAGAATCGGCACAGCTATTCTACTTACATGTACAAGTATGTATATACTGAATTACATTATCGTTTATATTTTTTTTAGTCATAGAAATTATTGTTCGTTATTTAACTTTTCCTAGACCACATGCACTTGAAATAAGATGTGTTGAGTGCCACTTTGATGGAAAAATTTACTACTGATAAAGCTGTGATTCTGACCTGAGTACATAATTTATTACTCCTTACTTTTTTATTAATTTTATAAAAAAAAAAAAATAAAACATCAAACGTTTAAACGAAGGGAGCAGTTTAATTTAAATACATGATTTTNATCATACAGGGTATTGAAAATTTAGGCATTAAGTTGTAAAGCTTAGCCCGC